CTCTGGCCGTGACACATGACGTGGCACCTGCCTGGCATCAGTGGCTCCAGCCAAGGCCCTGTCCTCCCTGCGGCTCCCGCACCCTGGACAGGGACAGCAGGGGCTCCTGGGAGCGTTCTCTGAGCTCCGGCGTCAGAGGCAGGTGCGAGCCCCAGGGTTTTGTTTTTCTGTCTTTTTAATCCTCGCCCGAGGATATTTTCCCGTTGATTTTTGGGGAGAGTGGAGGAGAAAGGGAGAGACAGGGCCTCGGGCGGGAGGAGCCCGCCAAGGAGGTGCCTGCCCAGACGGGAAGGGAGCCGGGACCTTTCACTTCGCAGGCCGCCTGCGCTACCCACTGAGCCGCACTGGCAGGACAGGCCACTCTTCAGGAGCAGCCGGCGCGGGGGGCAGGAGGGCCTGGGGGCCAGCAGCCTGCCCCGACCTGCACAGCCGGGGCCTCCCGCCCGCGGCCGACCTCTGGCCCCACCGGCCGGGCCTCGGCCTCGCTCTTGACCCTGCGCACCGGGGGCCAGAGGTCCCCGCTCCCTCCGCCCCCTCAGCCTTAGGTCCCGTTCCCGCCGGCGCAGGGCAGGGACCCCCGTTCCCGCCGGCGCAGCGCAGGCCCCGGGCCTGGGCGCCCCCTCACCCGCGAGGGCGCACAGCCTCTGTCCCACCGCCCTCCTCTCGGACCCGGACCCGCTCTCCCCTCCGCCTCCGGCCCCGCCCGCAGGTCACTCAGTGACGGAGCGGCCCGGGGACCGGGAGGACCCGCCGGGGAGGACCCGCCGCCACCGCACCTGCGGGGCTGCACCGCCCGAGGCCCCGGCCCCCATCGGCTCCTCCCGGACCTCCGACCTCCCTCCCCCGGCGGCGGGCAGGACCCCCGGGGCGGGAGGGGGCGGCGGGCAGGACCCCCGGGGCGGGAGGGGGCGGCGGGCAGGACCCCCGGGGCGGGGAGGGGGCGGCGGGCAGGACCCCCGGGGCGGGAGGGGGCGGCGGGCAGGACCCCCGGGGCGGGGAGGGGCGGCGGGCAGGACCCCCGGGGCGGGAGGGGGCGGCGGGCGGCTCCACCTCCTCCGTCTCCCAATCGCGTTCCGGGCGGAGCCGCGAGTTTCCCTCCTCAGAGCAGCTTCCAACTTCCCGGCCCGAGGCCGCCGCACCGGCCGCCCCTCCCGCCGCCCCGGGACCGGCCCTCCCGCCGCCCCGGGACCCGGCCCGGCCGCACTCACCGCCGCGGGCCCGGGACCGGCGCGAGGGGCTCCGCTCCGCTCCGATCGGCGCCCCGCGCCCGGGCTGGGCCGGCGCCGTTACCCGAGGCCGAAGGCGGGAAGCTCCCCCGCCGCCCGCGCCGCCGCCGAACAAAGAGACAAAGCGGCGCGCCCGCCGCCCGCCGTCCGGCCCCGCCGCCCCCCGGCCCCCGCCGCCCCCCGGCCCCGCCGCCCGCCGGCCCCGCCGCCCGCCGGCCCCGCCGCCCCCCGGCCCCGCCGCCCCCGGCCCCGCCGCCCCCCGGCCCCGCCGCCCGCCCCGAGCTGCCCGCCGCCCCGCCGCCCGCCGCCCGCCGGCCCCACCGCCCCCGCCGCCCGCCGCCCGGCCGCCGGGCCCCCCGCCCCCCCGGCCCCGCCGCCCCCCCGGCCCCCCGCCCCGAGCTGCCCGGACCCGCGGCCCCGACGTGCCGGGGGCGGGGGCGGGATCGCGGCTGCGGGGGCTGCGGGGGCGGTGGGTTCCCCGCTCCGCCGGCCTCACCTGCGCCCGGGATTGGCGGGAAGGGGCGGAGGGGGACCGGGGCGGAGGGGGACCGGGGCGGACGGGGGACCGGGGCGGAGGGGACCGGGGGGCCCGGGGCGGACGGGGGCCCGGGGCGGGAAGGGGGCCCGGGGCGAGGGGGGCCCGGGGCGGGGGGGGACCGGGGCGGGAAGGGGGCCCGGGGCGGGAAGGGGGACCGGGGCGGGACGGGGGACCGGGGCGGACGGGGGACCGGGGCGGAGGGGGACCCGGGGCGGAGGGGGGACCCGGGGCGGAGGGGGTCCCGGGTGGAGGAGCCGGGACCCGCGCCCTCACCTGCTCGCTGCCCGCCCCCTCCCTCCAGCCCGGGCTCGGGCGGCTCCCAAGTTTGTTTACCCGGAGCCCGGGCTCCGGACCCACAGGCACCGCTTCCGGCCCCACCGGGCACCGGGGCCCCTCCCGCAGCCCCCCTCACCCTCACCCTCACCCTCTCCGTCCCCCTCACCCTCTCCTCACCCTCTCCTCCCCCTCACCCTCTCCCTCACCCTCACCCTCTCCGTCCCCCTCACCCTCTCCCTCACCCTCTCCCTCACCCTCACCCTCTCCTCACCCTCTCCTCACCCTCACCCTCTCCCTCACCCTCACCCTCACCTCACCCTCACCCTCTCCGTCCCCCTCACCCTCTCCTCACCCTCTCCTCACCCTCACCCTCTCCTCACCCTCTCCCTCTCCCTCACCCTCTCCCTCACCCTCACCCTCACCCTCACACACTCACCCTCACCCTCACACACACACACACTCACGTGCACGCCGCGCTCACCGGGGGCGGAGGGGACGCGGCGGCTGCGGGAGTCGCGGGGAAGGCGCTCCCTCCTCCTCCGCGGCCGGGACCTGCGCCTCCGGGAAGCCCTGGGCAAGTCCCAACGCCCCGGCAGCGAATACCTGGCCTTCCCGAGGGGCGGGCCGCGGGCAGAGGCTCCCGCTCCGCCCGGCCCGCGTGTGCCCCCTGCCGGCCGAGTGCGTGTGCCCCCGCCTGCGGCCGCCTCGGGAGGCCAGTCCTGGCGCCTGGGGGCTCACCGGTCACCCAGAGTCACCCTGGAAACCCAGGGGCCGTGTGTGTGAACCTGTGTGTGTGAACCTGTGTGTGTGAACCTGTGTGTGTGCGTGTGCGTGTGTGTGTGTGTGTGTGAGAGAGAGAGAGAGAGAGAGAGAGGGAACCCGAAGGCTCAGGACATTCACACGCTGCTATCCAAAGGGCTACCACCACCAGCACCCTCTTCCCACCTGCCAGCTTCCGTCGAGTCTGCCGTCATGCCCGGCCAGTTTGGCTCAGTGGATAGTGTCCTCCTGCGGACCAAAGGGTCCCGGGTCCGATTCCTGTCAAGGGCAGGTTCCCGGGTTGCAGGCTCTTCCCCGGCCCGGGCCCTGGTCGGGGCTCATGCAGGCGGCAGCCCATCGATGTGCTTCTGTCTTTCCCTCTTCCTCTCTCTAAGACCCATGGGCAATGTCCTCTGGTGAGGACAGAAAGGAAGAGTCCGCCTCACTCTAGTCTACCCAACTCCGCCTCCCAAATCCCCTTCCCAGCATCTCGGGTCACCCCCCTCCTCCACCCCTCCCCGCCCCCTCACCCCCAGGACCCCAGGTGCCCGCCAATCTGCACCCCAGCTCCTCCGCCTCCTGCTCTCCCCGTATGCTCCACCCGCCCCACAGCCGTCCCCGAGCCAGACCACAGCTCTCCTCCCCACAGCTCGCAGCGTCTCCCCCTCTCCCCCTACCCGGTTTGTTCCAGTGCATCCCTGCAGGACCTCCCGCACCCAAGGGACTTGCAGCCCCCACAGTAGCCCTCATCTGTCCACAGACACGGCCCCCGCTGCCCGTCAGGACCTTGCACATCCCACCGGCAGAGGTCGTGTCATCTGTTCCATCCTGGGGACCTGGCTGGTGCCACTCAGTGGATAGAGCCCTGGCCTGCGGATTGAAGGACCCCGGGTTCGATTCTGGTCAAGGGCACATGGGTGTGCAGGAGGCAGCTGACCAATGATTCTCTCATCACTGTACCTATCTCTCTCACTCTCCTTTCTGAAATCAGTAAAAATAAAAACAACAAAAGCAAAGAAAACCTTGCCAGGGGTGCAGTGACCGAATGACCAGGCGGTGCATAGCACTGGGGGGCAGAGCGGGTCATTTGGACTGAGCACAGCTTGGAGGGAGGGAGGGCTCCTCCCGGGAAGCTGGCTCCAGGGGGCGCCCCCTCGGGGTGAGTGCGAGTGCCTCCCCACTGCCTTGCTTACTCAGGACACACAAGAACACCCACACCAGCTGGCCCGGGAGGTCAAAGGTCGCCCTTCCCCCTGGAAGAAGAGCGGGTCAGAGGTCCTCGGGGTAGTCAGCCTCATGCCTGCCAGGCACCGCCCACCTCTGGGAGGTTCTCCCGCCACTGCCTCCCCCACCTCCGGCCGGCAAGCTGACCTCCGCTCAGGCGTCACTCAGCCCAGTGGCACCCAGTGCCACCTAAAGCACTGCACCAGGACCCAGGCGGACCCAGTCCCCTCATCGTCTCCAGAATATTTATCCCCCCAGCCCTGCCCTGCCCCGAGTGTCTGTCCAGCATTAGAACCAGCGGGTTCCCCCACCGGGCAGAGTGGCCCAGGGGGCGGTAACCATGGTCACCATCGCCAGGCAGCAGGCAGGGCTCCCTCTGGACGCCCAGGCTTCCTGACCGGGCGGCTGGGCAAGCAGAGGGCAGGCAGGACCCAAAACAAAGCGTCCAGACCCAGGAGACCGTGAGACGAGAGGAGCTGAGGGGGAGAGTCCGCAATTCCAGACCAGCCCTCGAGTCTTTGTTGTTGTTTTTATTTTTTAAATATAGCTTTAACTTTTTAAATTATTGATAGTGTTACAGATATCTCCCATCCCCCCCCTTTACCCCCCTCTTTACCCCCCCAGGTCTTCACTACTCTACTGCCGGTGCCCGCGGGCAATGCACATCCCATAAAATAAAAGACAAGCAAATTGATCAAATGGTGGAATGACCAGTCACTATGATACGCACTGACCACCAGGAGGCAGCTCCTGCATTGAGCATCTGCCCCCTGGTGGTCAGTGCGCTCCCACAGGGGAGGGGAGGGGGCGGCGGTAAGGAGTGAGGGGTCCCGGACTGCCAGAGGGCGCAGGCCGGACTGAGGGCCCTCCCCCCAGTGCATGAATGTCGTGCACTGGGCCCTTAGTAGGTATGCAAGTTCTTTGCAAACCCTCCAGTATTGAATCTCCATCTCCAACAAGTAAAACAGTTGATATAAATTACTTTAAATAACAAACTCAGACATTTTAATGGGACGTCAGCACAGTTTTCATAGTTAATATAGAGGAGCACTGCCTACGGAGGGAAGTGTGTCTGTCCGCCGTGCACCACACAGACGTGCCCGCACTCGGGCTGAGGTGGCGTGTCCCCCACGAGTCACTTCACCACCGGGACCCGCTGCCGCGTCCACGCCGGCCAGCGAGGCCCCCCGCGCGGCGGCTAGCTGGCCCTGAACAGCATGTAGAGCATCGGCATGGTGGCCACGATGGTCAGGCAGGTGGCCAGCGTGCTGTAGATGGTGTTCCTGTTGACCCGGGCCTCCAGCCGCTGCTCCAGGTCCGGCAGCACCAAGACCAGGCCCCCCGGCTCCAGCGCCGCGCCGGGCAGAGCCGGGTCTGCCTTCGCCAGCTGCGCCACCCCGGCCACCTGGCCCAAAGTCTTCTCCAGGCCGCCCAGCTGCTCCTGCAGGCCCTCCAGGCAGGAGCAGACCTGCCGGGAGAGGCCGAGCTGCTCTCTCAGGGCGGCTGAGAGCGCGTCTGCGTCGCCGCCTCGGGCGGGGGGCCCCGCCGGGGGCCCGGAGCCGGGCGCCGGCTCGGCCGGGACCAGGCCCCGCAGGTCCGCGATGAGGCCGTGCAGGTCGCGGTGCTGGAGGGAGTAGCTGGACGCCTGCTCCCGGATGGCCTCCTGGAGGCTGGCGGGCCCCTTCTGCGCCTCCAGCAGCAGGGCCTTCAGCTCCTGCAGCCGCACGCGGTTCACGTAGGTGGAGCCGGCCACGCCGATCAGGGCGCCCAGCACCGAGCCGATCAGGGACCAGTTCTTGGTGCGCTCGGCCCGCGCCCGCTCCTTCTCGTGGCTCTCCCGCACGGCCGCCGAGAACAGGGAGAACTTCTCCCGCTCCGCGTCTTCCGCCCGCAGGTGGGCCGTGCGCAGCCTCTTCTCCTCCTGCGGGGCGAAGCCGGTTACACAGCTGCCGAGGCTGCCGGCGCGTTCCGCCCTCGCCCCGAGGCCGGCCTCGGGCCTGGCACAGGTGACCTGCCAGCGAGTGCGGGCAGCGTGCGCCTGGTGTGGGCGGAGCAGGGGAGTCGGGGTGGCCAAAGCGGCTGCACTACCCCCCCGGCCCCGCACCCTAGCCGTCCTGGTGTTTGCCAGACAAGGGATGTGCCGCCAGAGGGGCGTGTCTGGCACGCTCTGGTGCCCCCTCCTCGGCCATCGGGGGCCAGACACACGCCCGGCAGTCCACACAGCGCTCCAGGAGGACGTGGGCGATGGGCTGAGCAAGCCCGGGCCCTGTCCCTCCAAGGAGCTTCTGGGTTACCTCCCTCCCAGGCCTGACCCTCGGACCAGCCGGGTTCCCACCGCCCCCCCCCCTCCCCGGGGCCTACCTGCAGCATCCGGTGCTCCAGCGTGGCCAGCTCCAGGTACTGGCTGTCCTCCTTGGAGATGCGGTCCAGTCGGTCCCTCACCGCCTTCAGCTTGGCCTGCTGCGCCTCCAGCTGCTCGTGAGCCTCGCGGACGAGCCCTCGAGCCACCATGAACACCTTCTCGGCCTGCGGGAAGGACAGGAAGCTGCCTGCCCCTCTCCTCACCCTCAGGGTCCGGCTCGTTTCCAAGCAGATGGGCCGAGAGGAGGCTGGGGGGGAGGAGGGGTTGGCCTCGAGGGCCCGGGAAGCAGCCGAGAGTGTGCGCAGCCGGGGAGAAGCCTGTTCTCAGCACATGGCGGGCAGGCGGAGTTCTCCTCGCTTCCTGCTACACAGTGTTTCACAAAGTATCGAACTTTAAAGACAGTAGCTGTGAGAACTTGTGATAAGGAACTCCCCCCCCCCCCCCCCCCTGCCCCCGGGGCCCCCTCACCTCCGCCACGTTTCCCTGGGCCTCTCGGACCTCGTTGAGCCCCACAAACTCCTCGTACCGCTCCCACCAGGCGGAGGCCTGGGCGGCGGCGCGCTGCTGCAGGCGGCGGCCCAGGGCGCGGCCCTGCTCCGCCAGGCGCTGGGGCAGCCGCAGGGCCTCCTCCGGCCTGTCCCCGCGGGGCTGCCGGGGGCCCGGGCTGCACAGCGTCCTGGTCACCAGGCGGTCCCGGCCGAGGAGGCCCCTCCGCACCAGCGCGGGGGGCACGCCCGCGGCGCACTGCATGGCGGGCAGGGCGCTGCACCCCGTCATCGGGAGGCCTGGGGGGACAGACGGGTCAGCTCCCAGCGGAGGAAGGCGGGCCACGTCAGGGTCAGGGCCTGGGCCTCGGTCAGCTCTGGACCGACCGGCTGCCATAGAAAGGTCCACACCGCGTGCCACTCCGCTGGGCCGGGGTCCGCCAGGGGAGTCCGCGCGGGAAACCATGCCCCCCCCCCTCCGCACCAGCCCCCCTTGGCAGCCTCAGCCAGGTCTCTGCCAGGACTCAGATCCCAATTCTGGGCCCAGGTTTCTGACGTCTAGGAGAATGGTCACACCTGAGTTTGTTCACGCCGGCAAAGCCCCACGAACTCCCTAAGGAACCGAGGACCCCAGGGGGTTTCGGGGACAGACCCCTCCCGGACTCTCCGGAGGAGGACCCAGGCCTGTCCCCGCAGAGGACGGGGTGTCCTGGGCTCCCCCAGCCTGTCCGCCCGCCTCCACGCCCACTCGCTCCAGGTCACGGGCTCCCGTTTCACTCGCCTCCAGCCCAGCCACGGCCACGGCCACGGCCACGGCTCAGGTTCCCGGGGCCCCTCCCGTTCAGCCTCACCCGGATGTTTGGGGCCCAGCCTACTTCTTCCCCCTGAAGGAACGGCCCGGGGCGTCTCCCCTGCCCGGCAGGCCTGGCCGAGCCCCAGAGCCCCAGAGCCGCTGTGGCAGAGGGACCCCCCCTTCCCAAGAGGGCAAGCCTGGGCCAGCAGCACCCTCCTCTGGCCAAACCCGCCCTTACCCCCACGTCCCGGCTCCGGCGCCAGAGCGACACCTGGTGGCCACGGGCAGAGGCGCTGGGACAGGGAGACCCACGGGAGGCGCTGGGGGGGGGGGGATGGAAACCCCACGTCCGACCTGGGCCAACAATCTCTCCTCCTCCCGCCTCACGTCCATCAGCCAACACCGCTTCCTTTCGTGACCCCGAATCCCTCTTCCTCTTGCCCCTGCCCTGGTCCCACTGGCCAGCGCCCCTCGCCTGGCTTTCCCGGGAGCCTCTGGACAGGTCTCCCTGCTTCCGCTCCCGTCCCCCCAGTCTCCTGTGGACAGAGCTGTGGTCCCTTCAAAACACGTCTCTTCTGCTCAAACCCGCAGCAGTCCCCACTTCTCTCACGGCAAACGCCATCCCTGCCCCCGGCCTGCCTGCCTTCTTCTCTGTCTCCCAGTCTCCGCACTCTGCTCCCACCACAAGGACCGTCCCCACGGCTTTATGGGACATTGCTGTCGTGTACGCCTGTGTAAGTGTCAGGGGTACAATGCGATGCTGTGATACACCTGCAGACTGCTAAACGTTTGCCACGATAAGGTTCGCACACGCCTCCTCCTGCTCACGTAACTGCCACGCGTGGACTTAGCGGTGTGGCTGGAACACACCAGCCTATCCCCCCTGCAGGGCCTTCACACCGGCTTCACTGTCTGTACTGCAGCTCCCTGCCCTTTCCCACGACCTGCTCAACCGTCATGGCCACCCCCAACCCCAGCACTCCTCACCCACTGCCTCTGCTTCGTTTTCCTCCAGGGACATGTCACATGACCTACGACAAGTATTTCTCTTCTTTGCTCGGCTCAGAGTCCGTCCGACTGACCCACCCCGGCGTCAGGTCTGCCAGAGCAGGCTCCGCTTCCTCCCCGGCTGCGCCCAGACCACCTCCTGCGCGTGGCACCCATTCAACACAAACGCTACGGGCATCAGCAGAAGGAGCAGCGCGTCGCGATCGGGGCTGTATGACAAAGGCCAGATGCCTTCGGGGGGGAAGAGGGGCTCCAAGGCTCTGGGGCCCGCGATCTAACCCCACCCCACCGCCTCCCGGCAGCGTCAGCCTCGCGGTGCCTTCCTACGTCCGCACACACGCGCCAAGGAGGTCTGTGCACAAGCCCTCCCCTCGGCCTGCAGGGCTCTCCCCGTCCCGCGCACGGCCCGGTGAAGCGCCCTCCCGGCCCCGGACCTCCCCTGGCCGGGGACCCCGAGCGCCACCCCCGTACCCGGCCCGCCTAGCACCTGAGCCGCCAACCCCGCGGAGCGGCTGCTCCCGCCTCCAGAAGGCCGCTTCCGGCAGCCAGCGCACAACTTCCTTTGTGGCAGCCAATCGGCGGGCGCGGCGGCGGCGCGGGGGCGGGGCCGGGAGCTGGGCTTCCGGTGGCGGGGCTTCCGGTGGCGGGGTCTGCGGCCGGGGCGGCAGGCACCATGTCCGGCCGCGAAGGTGAGTGTGCGGGTTTGGCGGGGCGGGCCGGCCGGGGTCCGGCGGCACGGGGCCCGGGTGAGCGTGTGCGTGTCGCCCGCAGGTGGCAAGAAGAAGCCGCTGAAGCAGCCCAAGAAGCAGGCCAAGGAGATGGACGAGGTGAGGGCGGCGCGGGGCGGCGCGGGCGCGGGGGCGGCGGTGGGGACCCGCCCGGAGGGGAGGGAGAGGGAGCCCGCCAGCACGGCGCCCGCTCTGCTTCCCCAGGAGGACAAGGCGTTCAAGCAGCGGCAGAAGGAGGAGCAGAAGAAACTCGAGGAGCTGAAAGCGAAGGCCGCGGGGAAGGGCCCCCTGGGTAAGTGAGGGCCGGGCCGGAGCCGCACGCCTGCCCCGAGCATCAGCCCGAAGGCGGGCCGAGCAGGTCCCGGTCCGCCCCTCGGTGAGTGGCGAGGCCTCGGGCCTCCGTGTCCGCCGCGGCCAGGCTGGGCTTTGCCGCCGCAGGAAGGGGCGGGAGCCAGACCGGCCTCCGGGCAGGAAGGGAAACGCAGGGGCCCTGCAGCGGGGTTTCCAGAGCCGGGACGCGCTGCCCGTGTTGCTGACGGCGGTAGGTGCGTTGGCGTCCTGGGTCCTTTGACTTCGGGATGTGCCTGGACTGAGGCAGCACAGACTGCCTGGCGGCTGTTGCTTCGCGTGCTTTTTAAACCGGACCCTCACCATTCTGCCTCTCCTCAGGTCAATCCCAGCAGCCCCGGTGTGGTCTGTGCTGCTGCAGTGCTGGTTACGTTCATCAAATTGGGATCACTGAGCCGGGGGAGGGGCAGTGGAGGCTGGGATGGTGGAGTGGCGTCCAGGATTTCCCTCCCAGTGGGTTTTATTGTTTAGCCCCATAGCAGATTCCTTTTTGAATGGTGTGATGAGGTATCCTTTTTAAAAAATATATACATATTATTGATTTTAGAGAGGAAGGGAGAGGGAAAGACAAACATCAGTGATGAGAATCATTGCTTGGCTGCCTCCTGCACGCGCACACACACACACACACACACGCACGCACGCACGCCTTGGGGATCCAGCCCACAGCCTGGGTATGTGCCCCGACTGGGAATGGAACCCTGACCTTCTGGTTCATAGATTGATGCTCACCACTGGGCCGCGGGCTGTAAAAGTTTATTCTGTCACAATAGGATCTCCATTCCTATACTGGGCATACCCAATTCTACAACTATTTCTTAAATTACATACTGTTGGCCACAAATACAGTCATTTGTAAATAGGGAAAAACATGATGCTGAGTGAACCAGACTCCAGGGTCATCATATAGAAGGTGTGGGATGATGTGACAGTTATGAAGATGGGTTTGGAAGTCAGACTGCCCGGTTGGAATCCTGGCTTCATCACATGCCGGTTTGTAACGAACAACACCTGGCACTCAGACTCGTATCTGTGAAGTGGGTTGGTGGAGATGAGGCTCGTTGAGCCAATCAGCGATGGAGCACAGGACACGGTGTGGCTGCAGCCAGTGCACAGCCGTTCCGGTGCCCTGCTCATCCTCAGTCTACCCCCCCCCCCCCCCTCGGGAAAATCACGTCGGTAAAGCCCGACGTGCTGGTCAGAGAGGACGCCCGTGGGAGAGGGGAGCCGAGCCGTGCTGGGATTCTGCCAGCACTGTCTTCCCTCTGACACCTTCCCTTCTGCAGCCACAGGTGGAATTAAGAAATCTGGCAAAAAGTGAACTGCTTGTGCCTGGGGCAATGGTGATCCTCGATTCCATCCCTGTTCTCACGTCAGGACTCCCTGTCATCGCATCTCCTGCCACCTGGAGCTGGAATGAAGTGTTGTCTTGGAGACTGTGGTACATTTAAGAATAAACGTTTGTAAAAACAAAAACAAAAACAAAAAAAAAATGATAACGATAATTATGCATCGGCTCATCTCTTCACCTCTCATTCTGCCATTTCAACCTTAGGCGTGTGGTCAGAGGAAGCCCAGCTCAGAATCCTGGCAAAGCGTGTTCTTGGAGATACTCTGTGTAACACCTGGAATTAAACCAGCGTGCTGGAAATGGCTGCTGTTTCCGTGTGGTTGTACGTACGAAGGAGTGCATGACATTGGTGGGAGGTTTCGTGTTTTGGAAAGAAAAGCCACCCTTCTCTGATACTCACGTTGCCTTTTAACGGGGCTGCTGGGCTGTTTGCGTACGCAGGCTGGGTTTGTGCCAGCGACAGTTCCTGTTGTCAAGGGGCTTCTTCCAGGAGGGGAGCAGGACAAACACTCTGCACCATGAAGGGAAGCAAGTGGGGGGCGGGAGGGAAGACTCCTGAGAGTCTAAAAACCACGCCTACGCCTGGGTCCCCACTAGGGCTTTGAGAGGTCCTTCCTGGTTCTAGGGTCTAGTGCCCCACATTCAACCATCAGGGAAATTAAATCGGACCTCTTCATATTTCTTCCAAGAACCATCCCCAACCCTAAGCCCTCACCTGGATTGTTGCAGTCACCTTCAAACTGTCTTCTGCCCCTACCCTGGTTCCCTCGGAACCCAGAGTGGCGGTGCTGAACTGCTGTTACCTGGTGTCTCTGGGCTCAAATCCCTCCGTGACTTCTTAGGGCAAAAGCCAGGGTCTCTACGATGACTGTGAGGCCCTAAGGGATCAGACACCACTCCCTGCCCTCCCATGGCTGCTCCTCCTGATCCATCGTGAGCTCAGTGGCCTCTGTTCCAACAAGCTCCTGCCTCACTTCGTCACCGACTCACTCCTCTCTGCCTGTCGCTCTCCCGGGTACTGGAGACTCCCTTCAGACGGCAGCTCTTCCTGATGACTCTAACGGAGGGCGTGCTTCGTTTCCCCCTGACATTTGTTGATTATCACCCTTCCCTCCAGTGTTAATTCCTGGAGGACAGAGGCCATCCATGATGTGTGCTAAGTGCATGTGTACTGAGGTGACTCAGAGGCACAAGTCTGAATTTCCCTCCGGAACCCTGACACACTGGGAGCAATGCTAAGCTCTCAGAATGTGTTCTCCACAGGGTCTCCAGAGTGACGGCAGGGGCCGCCGGTGTCTCTCCCGTAGATGTCTCTCCCCCCTCCCTCCCACTCTTAAAAAAAAATAAAAAAATCGAGGGGAAAATGTCCTCGGGTGAGGATAAAAACAAACCCCAGCAGGTCTCTAGACATGGTCAGATTTTGCTAGGTCAAAACTGGAAAAGGTTTTGATAAACCCTGTTTTATGACGAATGTGCTGGGTACTGATAGAAAAGGGGAAGCCTGCTCTGGCCCTCTCCTGGGAAGCGGAGCCGCCATCAGCACCATCCTGGGCATTCCCTGCGGGGCCTTGCCAGCTGCACCCAGCCCCAGCTGCTGAGAAAGCCCTCCCAGAGCCAGTGCCAGCGCAGGGTCCCAGCCGGAACCTAATCCCTCCGGCGAGCCCAGTAGGCTCCCGCCTCGGCAGATCTGCATCAGCTACCACTGAAGCCTTCGGCGTCTGGGCAGCTGAGGGAAAGCACCAATGACCCCAGAAACTAAAGGCAGGCATTCAAGACCCGCTAGGCCCTGACGTCTGCTGTTCATTTGCGGCCTTCACAGACATTCCCGGGCCACATATGGCACTAAGCACGCAAGGCGGAGAGGACTGCCCGTTACTCTCCCACTCCCTGTCCTGCTGCCTGTCCTGCAATGCTGCGCCAGGTCCCAGCCTGCCGGCAGGTGCCACTTCCGGGGGCCTCCCGGGACTCCCGAGCCTGGCTCATGTCTCTATGGCCAGAACTTGGGGTGACAACAGCCAAACGTTCCGGGAAAAGAACGAATGCTGCTACCTGCCCGAGGAGCTAGCTCCCAGCCCTCAACACAGCCACAGCCTTTCAGGATCGCCTCTCCCCTCGGACTGTCTGCCCGAGACCGACCTCCAATGGACACATTGCAACCAGGTACCGGTTCAAGCACAACTGCTCGCGACGGCTCCATCTATCCACCTCCCCTCAACCCCGCTCTCCGGGTCTCCACCCCCGGGAGCCTGCTGGTCTGCGAGGGGGGTCCAGGGGTGAAGCGAAGCGGCGGCGACGAACCCTGCCCGCTGGCTGCCTCGGTTCACGTGCGCAGAGTGGGGTGACGCGAGCTCCCGCAGCCGGGCCGTGTGCCCCCCGGCCCCCCGTCGGGGGACTGGGGAGCCCAGACGCACCCCCGGAGGCGCCGGTCTCACCGCGCAGAGCCGGTCTCAGACCCGCGGAGGAGCCGCCGCAGGCACAGGGGGCGGGCACTGGGCGGGGCGGGGGTCGCGCTCGAAGTGCGTCATCGCTCCGCGCCCGCCGGCCGCCTGCCGATTGGCCCGCTGGCGGGGGCGTGGCTTCGGCGGAAGCGGCGCGCGGCGGTTGGCGCACTGGCGGCCTCGCGCCCGGCCGGCTCTGCGCCTCCGGAGGCGGCGGCGGGCGGCGGCGGCAGCATGGCCGGGGCCCCCGCGCCGGGCAGCAGGCGGCCCCCGAGCAAGCGGGCGCGGGGCCCCCCCTCGGCAGCAGCCCCGGACCCCGAGGACCCGTTCGGCCTCCACGGGGACTTCACTGCGGACGACCTGGAGGAGCTCGACATCCTGGCGTCGCAGGCCCTGAGCCAGTGCCCGCCCGCGGCCCGGGGCGCGTCCCGTGAGTGCGCCCGGGGCTCCTCCCGGGGGGCTCCTCCCGGGGGGCGGCGCGGCGGCTGCGGAGCCCGCGGAGCCCGCGGGGGCGCGGCCCTGGTGTCCACCCACCCCGCCCCTTCGCTTCTTTAAAATCCCCGCCGGCTGGGCTCCGTGGATGGAGCGTCAAAATGTAGACAGAAGAAGGGTCCTGGGTTCGATTCTGGCCCAGAGCACAGGCCCCGGAGGCGGGCTCGGTCCCCAGAAGGGGGAGTGCAGGCCAGAGGCAGCCGACCCACGATCCTCTTGTGCAGCTCACTTAGCAAGGAGCAAAAGACAGAAGCCCCTTCCTTCAGGGAGCGTACATGCTTTCCAGTTGGGGAATGAATGAAGTCTTGGGCTCCCAAAAGAGGAAGTTTTTCCTTTATGTTTTATACAATAGATTTCAGAGAGGAAGGTAGAGGGGGTGAGAAATATCAATGATGGGAGAGAATCATGGATCTGGATGGGCTGCCTTCTGCACAGCCATATTGGGAATCGAGCCCAAAACCTGGGCATGTGCTTTTTTTTTTTTTTTTTTAAGATTTTTAAAAAATATATATTTTATTGATTTTTTTACAGAGAGGAAGGGAGAGAGAGAGAGCTAGAAACGTCGATGAGAGAGAAACATCGACCAGCTGCCTCTTGCACACCCCCTACCGGGGATGTTGGGCATGTGCTCTTGACCAGAATCGAACCTGGGACCCTTCAGTCCACAGGCTGACACTCTATCCACTGAGCCACGCCGGTGAGGGCAAAAGGGAGAAAGGTTTTGAGGACACCTTGTGTCTCTACTTGGATATCTCGCAGGCATCTTCAATTCCACTGTCATTTTCTGGAGACCCAGTCCTCCAGCATCTCCAGCCTGGCACCTGGCAAACACACCTTCAGAACACACTGCCTGGTGCCCAGATTCTCTGCACCACAGTGACTGGCACCACTGCCTCCCAGCTGTCACGGCAACGCTCCCTTTCCGTGGCCTTACACACAATTCCCTTCCAATCCTGTACCTTCACCGTTTGTGTGTATACACACACACACATACATATATATATATATATAAAATTTGATTTTTTACAGAAGGGAGAGGGATAGAGAGCTAGAAACATCTATGGGAGAGAAACATTGATCAGCTGCCTCCTGCACATCCCCCACTGGGGATGTGCCTGCACCCAATGTACATGTCCCTGACCGGAATTGAACCTGGGACCCCTCAGTCTGCAGGCCGACACTCTATCCACTGAGCCAAACCGGTTTGGCACCTTCACCTTAATCCACCTCTGAAATCTGCCCTCTTTGCCTCCTCTCTGCCACCTTCCTGATCTAAGGTACCATCGCCCCTCCCCTGGACAACAGTCTGACTGGTCGGCAAACTCATTAGTCAACAGAGCCCAATACCAACAGGACAACGATTGAAATTTCTTTAGAGAGCCACACTGTTTAAACTTAAACTTTTTCTAAAGCCACTTCTTCAACATTGACTCACCCAGGCCGTGGTGTTTTGTGGAAGAGCCACACTCAAGGGGCCAAAGAGCTGCGTGTGGCTCCAGAGCCGCCGTTTGCCGACCACTGGTCTGGGATGTCTTCCCAGTTCCAGTCCTGACTCCCTGCAGGTAGACTTCACACCACAGCCGGCGTGATCTGTTCACAACGCAGTCGGCTGCGTCTCATACGGACACGCGTGAACACCCTCCTGAATGCGCTTTAGTGGCCGCCGCCGTTTCTGGGGGAAAATCAGACCCTTCATCTGGCCTGACAGGCCCAGCGTGCCGTCCCTTCCCTCTTCCTCCTGGTCAGCCACACTGACCCTCCTCTGTTCCCTGAACTCTCCCTGCTTCTTGCCCCTCGCTCTTCCGAATGTCCGTGAGCTCCTCAGCCTGACAGTCCACTGCTCACCCTGTCCTGGGGCGGCCAGGCCGGCAGAGAGCAGGTGCTCAGTAAGGCTGTGATCCATCGCTGCGTCTGACCGCGGGTCTCCACAGCGCCTTTCAGCCTTAGACGAGGCTTCGCATCGGGGGGGGGGCTGAGCGGGGAGGGCGGCGGGACCTGCTATTTCATCGAGGTCATTTCTTTTTTTTCTTTTTTTAAATATATTTTATTGATTTTGTACAGAGAGGAAGAGAGAGAGAGTTAGAAACATCGATGAGAGAGAGTCATCGATCAGCTGCCTCTTGCACACCCCCTACTGGGGATATGCCCGCAACCAAGTACATGCCCTTGACCAGAATCGAACCCCGGACCCTTCAGTCCCCAAGCCGACGCTCTATCCATTGAGCCAAACCGGTTTCAGCCATCGGGGTCATTTCTGAGCTGAGGCACATTCCTAGGTTGGGAAATGCCTGCATCTCTTCTAGATCCTTCTCTCATTTGCTTTCGAGAGTGACTCCAGCATTATCTGGCAGGAGTGGGGAATGCTGGGAA